AAAAAAAAAAGGAAAACAATAATAAATAGAATCACAATTGGGAGCAAAAGGAAACAAAGTCAAATAATTTTTTACAAATGATTTTTGCTTGTTCAACTGTTACCCTTCTTGCAAACCCCTCAATCTGCCATTGTGTTTTTCACTGTGAAGTACCTCACTCAAGGAAAACGTTGGATTTCTGACGTTTTGTTTTGTTTTGTGCGCGTTCCAAATGAAACAATCGCTCTGTGTAGGTCGATGCAACACTGCGGGAGATCAGTTTCATTGAGAGCGAGCCATAAGTATATACAAGATAAAACACTTTTTATTTCATGATCATCATCATCATCATCATTGCTCTTCGTCCCGCGTGGGACATAAGGCCACAGTCACTTCTTTCCACTTGGCCCTGTCTCTGGCTACGTGCTGGGCCTGTCCCCATGTAAGGTCCCCCTCCCTCAGCTCTGCCATCATTGTTCGGCGCCAGGTGGTCTTGGGCCTTCCTCTCTTTCTTTTTCCGGGTGGTCTTCATCTCATTGATAACTTGAGCTGTTTTGGAGGTCTCAAACATGGTGCGGACATTCCATGCCCCAACACGAAGGATGGATTTGGGCCCCAGTGCATCCGACTTCGCACTCCTGACTTCCGGTGGTGGGCTTTCATCAGAAATGGTCATAGTGTCGTGGTCTTGACTCGAATACACTGAGGACCTAGTTGAAGTAGAAGTTTTTGTGGTTTCTGTAACAATTATTTGAACCGGGAGGGTTGTTGGCCCCCCGCGGTAGGTTTTATGTCAGGGTTTTCCTTCCCATAGCCAGAGCCTCGTTAGCCTAGGCCCGCTAGGACCTAGTTTCCAGGGTGTACCACGGGGAGGAGAGGTTGACTTGAGTGATCTACGGGTCACCGGCAAGCTACTTAAATTTCACCTTTCGCCCTTGTGGACTAGCCGGCCTTAACAACACTGGATGTGAAGCCAAGCGCATGAACACCCCTACACCCTTATTTCATGATAGAGTTGATGGAATACTAAGGGATATTTCCAGCAAACACATCACATTTCACGTTACCATAACGTTACCATAACGTTTCTTGGCTACATATACGTTATAGTAACGTTAAAATAACGTTCTGGATTATCAGATATTGGTACACTTCATGGCAGCCAGGGACAAATCTGAATTCAGATGATTTCAAAACCCTCAGATCAGCTTCTTCAGGCTACAGATGGACGCCACGCGTGCGATGAAAGCTTTCCACTTTTCACTCCTGCAATAAAAATCGGAATGGAAAAATACGTCTCATCAAAGATAGCTTAACATCAATTAGCTACCCCCTTTTAAAATATGTGCAATAGTACAAAGAAAATTATATTAGAGAGCATTGTTTGTTTTACAGCTACTGTATGTGTTTTTTTTCACCATAAGATTTAATAAAAAAACAGCATACTGTATTTTAGCTGCCATGACAACGATTCTGTCACTCACATCCATCACTGGTTTGAAAGGAATGTTTGAGTCTAAGGGCGCATTCCAAACCAGTTTATCAGCGGATCAGATATGTCCCCACCCATTTGAAAGCGTGCAGATTTAATTGCTCTGCCCCTGCTGGAAGGGTGCCCGTGGGAAGCGGGGATCCATTTTCAAGTGTCCAGTTAGTCCCCGGATCAACTGGTTGTGAGCGCGGCCTTAAAGAAAACAATTCTGAATTAAAATCTTAATGGCTGGGTTTTCGTTTATCGGCCCTCAATTTGTGTGGAATAGCCATAGCATGTGCATAACGAACAGGAATCGTTTTGCTCTTTTAGTGTAAAATTACCAATGAATATAGGCAATGTGTGTTTTTTGTCAGCATGTATTCACATATTTTTTATCGTTTTAGCTCCGCTTTTGTCCACAACCACAAAGATGCATAGACACTCCCACTGGTTCAATGTGTGTGCTGTAATAATACCATTAAGGTGAGGAAAATGAGGCAAACGTGTACTTCAGTTGTAAACTTACGAATATTGGGCCCCATTCTCATAGACGCCTTCGGTCTAGTGGGGCGACCCAACTCTGCTGAGATTCTCGCTGAGTGCAATCAGCATAACAGCCTCCTCTTGGCGTAAAGTAGATTACAGAAAAGCTGGTGATTATACGAGTACATTGGAAGCAAGAGGAGGCGAGTCATTCAGTTAAGCTGATTGCATTTAGCGAGAACCCCCGCAGAGTTGGGTCGACCCACGTAAACCGAAGGTGACTATAGGAATGGGGTCTTAGTCCAATAACAGGGAGTAATATCTGTCACGATACGCTGCACTGAAAACGGATTTCTGTTGCGTTTTTGACACTTCTGGTAGTCCTTCTGATGTTAAGGGTCAACTTTGCTATTATTTCAGATTAATTTGGCAAATGCATTTCCAAGACCGTTTCTGATTTTTTACAGTCAGGACTGAATTTGATGGCATTCCCCGCATAATTTCTATTAATTTTCATGCTTATTTTTTCAGATGCCACTTCCATGCCATTAAGAAACTGTTGAAGCTGTTTGCAGAACGTCTTTTGCAATTCATGGTTGAAAATAAAACTTGTTATAAAGTACAATATATTGTCACTTTTTAGTGTCTGATCACTTTCATATTTGACACATTTGTAGATGCGTGTGCAAATTTGAAAACCACTTCTCTTGATCTAATTCGTCTTGCCTTTAAAATCTTTAAGCAGTATTTTGACATTAAATATTTTGTGACATATTGAAAAGATTGCACATATTATGCAGCACATGTTTGAAATACCACACCTCAAAGCAATATTTTGAAATCAAATATTTTTTGAGTTATCATAAATATGCACTTACCATATTAAAGAAACAGTCTATCTATATTTTGCAATATACATGTTTCTCTGAGTAGCCGTTTAAGCGGCAAGTTTTGGGTATTCTCATTACCACGTGAAACAGCAGCAACAACACTTGACTAAATGCTGTGTGCGCACAGTTATCTCGGCAGAAATGATTATATCTTCCTTCAGTTACCGAGTGATAGAAACACCTTTTTTTATTTTTTAAGAGATCTTGTTGTCGTGATCGTACCGTAACCGTGGATTAAGAACAGGTAAGTTTTTGGAGTTTATAGCTAGATTGTGTATTTGAGCAAAATCCATAAACTTTAAACTTTTAAACTGATATAAATTTGAAAACATGATGACCTTGAAAACTGTGATGACCTGATAGCCGTGAAAACTAGTGAATACTTATGAAAACTGATGAAAACTGACGAAAACTTATGAAAACTGGTAAAAACTTGAAAACGTAAAACAATATGGGCCGGGGAGACCGTGACGCTGTACTGAATGAATGTATCGTTACAGGGCGGGAGTTCAAATATATATACCTGTAGGACAAGTCATCTGACTCGTGAACACATCTCCCTGGACAATTACATTTACTCTGACTTAGTATTATTAAAATACACTGACTAAGTATTACTCTGACTAAGTATTATTAAAATACATGCTCATCTGTTTGAATGTCGACCGTGCTACATATATGCACACGTCACATAGTACACGGTTCAAAATTTCGCACTTTGTGGATTACATAGCGTCTTTAAAACGATGAATTATACTTTAGAAGTGCCACATGCATTGCTATAATTCTTATAAGTTTACGATGAGTATTACATTGGAAAAGTACTAGGTCTTTTCATACGATAACTTATTGTTTGTTGTTTTTAAAGTTGTACAATTAAGATACATATCGTTTATCACTGGCATTCATCTCAGTGGCAATGTCGGAATTCTTTCAATTATCCCAGAAAATGACAAATATATTAACTTATCTGAAAATACATTGTGTAAAAACGAAAGATTAATCTAAAGATTGCATTGAAATTGAATATCATTTGATCTCTGGACGTTTATTCAGTCCGACGGTTGATCAAAGGAAGGTGTTTTACGTAATAATGTATATTAAAAGCATCCACTGTTTGGCAAACTGGGTCCTTTCGGTTGGAAGGCTTTTTTAGCAGTTTCTTTGAGAGTTACCGTAGGAATATCTATCCGAAGAATTTAGCTGAAAAACGATTTGATGGAAACTGGTTCTCGTAGTAACTTTGTTTCACCACATAGGAAGGGCTGATATCACACACTCGGGTCACGCCTGAAATTTAGAACGACATTTAAGAGACAATGTTACTGGAAAGAAACCAGTCATGTGCCTTTTTCTCTAATGAATCATATATTTGACGGTAAGCAAAAATTAGGATTCACTTAGGTAATGACAAGCACACGATTTACGCATACAGTTACATTAAGCGATGAAAAAAGAACAAAAAGTACTGCAGTAGTTTTACCTGTGAGTGCCATGGTACTTTCTAGTTCGTTAGTCAGTATGTCAAGTACGTCTTGAACACCTTGGGAGCCGTTAGTGGCGAGACCATAGATAGCAGGACGACCGATGAAGACGGCTTGAGCCCCTTAGAAGAAAAAAATAGATATCGCCTATACACATAGGCCTACTACACATAACACAAACTTATGGATTTGTCGAACTCTGTTCTTGGCATGGCTCGTAAAATTATTCGATCCCAAAATGCCCATGTAATGTGCAGCTCCTACTGTAGTCGCGAGGTAGGCCTACATCTGTCCTGCGCCTTATATTTCTCAAGACATTTTGCACACATTGCAATCAAATTTTTCGAAGGCTGATTAGCCTCAGTTTTAAACCGTTTGTTCTAGCACCTACCTAGAGCTAACGCCGTGTAAACGTCCCTCCCGTTCCGAATTCCTCCGTCTAGGTAAATCTCACATCGCCCCTTAACGGCACGCACCACATCCCAGAGCGCGTTAATAGTGGCTGTAGTACCATCAAGTGTACTGCAATAATGATGTTAATTTTGCCCTAACGAAAAAGTCCTATAGGATCCCAAAAGATCCTATTGGATTCTGTAGAAAATTGGTCCAATTTCCTTGAGTATCCTATAGGACTTTTTCGTAAGGGTGATAAATTTAGATGAACCGTTTGGTGGGGCCCTTGCAATTTACCTTGAACACGTTTTAAATTATTAATTAGAGAAATGTAATTAACACAGTCTGCGTATTACTTACCGGCCACCGTGGTTGGATACATAAACGCCATCCACACCATGGCGCACCGCAAGTTCGGCGTCCTCTGGGGTTAAAATTCCCTTGAGAATGATTGGAAGACGTGTCACGTTTTTCAACCAATCCACATCGTCCCAAGTGACTGTGTCAATTTGATTCTCCACGTCGCCCACGCTACCACCAATCACTGGTCGGGGAACGTTTACATAGTCGAAAGAAGCGGGATATTCAAAATTAGAGTAAGTTATTCGTCTTAAGGCAACCTCATCTATGGTTAGCACTATGGCCTTGTAACCTGCAATGAAGAATGCCGAGACGTACAAACAGATTGACCTGAACAGCGACAAGTACCTCAGGCCCATTGCCGGGGGCGAGGGGGCGGGGTAGAAAGGCTCCTTCTGGGTAAAATTTTATCTAGGTACACGAAGGTTTCATGGTAAAAGATACACTTTTTCTGATAAAGAACCCCCTTTAGAAATTGCTGGCTACGGGCCTGTACCTTATACGATTGTTTTCCACAAAGAACAATATCAGCTACCCAGCCTTGCGTAATCTTCTCTCATATACACTCACCACTTTAGACAGAAAAAAACTCAGATTACCAAAAGCAAAAGACTCTCTTGTGATAAAGTTTTTCTTTTTTGTCCAAACCCAATCCTTACCAGCTGCTTCAACCCTCCTGATGTGCCTCAGCATGTCGCTCCTTGGCTTCACCATGTACGCCTGCATCCAACGATGTCCGTGTGGAACCGCCCTGTCTACCTCCTCCAACGGTGTGCCCGTTACCTCGGACAGGATCATGAGGGCGTTTTTGGCAGCGGCACCCGATGCTGTGCCTATCACTCCTTCTGGGTGGAACCATTTATGAAAAGCAGACGGAGAAATGCCTGGAAAGAAAACGACATCTTACTAGTTCATATCCCAATGCTATATGTATCTTCATGAGGTATATGTTCAATTCGGCGTACAAGGAACACAGTGAAGTAAGCTTTGACACCAAAGACTGTATACTTTCTCTTTCTGTCTCCTTGATCTAAACCGACTTAGATACTACGGCATACTTTGGCAAAAAAAGGACAAACTCAAGTATATTGTTCGAAATTTGGCCGATGGTGACCGCATTTATCGAAGGTCCCTCCGATAAAAGAATTGAAATTGTTTTAGTGATAAACATTGAATAATGTTGAGTAATAATATTAACGTAATACTTAATCTACAGTTAATGTAATGTTCAAACAAATAGTGAACACAATTCAATTTGTAGTGTTTCAAAGAGGCAAGCCAAAAGACATGTAAGCCAGAAGTTGTGCAAGCCAAAAGTTCTGCAAGCCAAAAGTTAACCAATTGTGCAGTACAGGCGCAGAGCCAAACTTGCTTACCAAAAGTCAGCATAAATTCAAGAACACTGTGTAGTGACGCAAACTTACAGCCAATATAAAACCCACCTATTGGGATATCTACTGCTTGTCCTTGAACAGTTGTACTTGTATCAATATGACTCACATCTCGCAAATGCCTTGGCCGTAGACGAAATGTCTTGAAAGCATCAATATTCTCGTCGTGAGTCTGGCCACGGGTGAAAACGCTTTCAATGTACTTGTACGCGTGTGGATGAAGGTTATCTTTTGCGCATTCTTTGAAGTCTTGCACGTTAACGAAGCGGCGGCTTACCTAAGGGGAGAGATACCACTAGCTATATTTCTCTCTGACGCACCATATTTTCTATTTCTATTTGAAATTACATAGCCTTTCTATCCATATCCTTGTAAATAACATGTACTTACACTGCAGACAGTAACAGTCGACGTCATCAGTGCAATTAATACCACGAAGGTACCCATGGCGGAATACATTCACGAGACTCGTGGTGACCGTCTGTAGAAATATGAAGACGTCCAAAAGTAAAAAAAACTCTTGATCTTATCTTATATAGTACCCTTGTAGGAGCCCTTACTCGACCTTGTGACAGAAAAGATGCCTTTGTTTACCGCCAAAAGCCATTTACTCTAAATTACTCTAAATAGTCTAATGGACTCCTTGTCCTTATAGCCATCGCAATCCCTATTCTGTAGAATGCATGAACTGTCACTGCACATGCGATCAGACGTTAAAATGGACATTCACAATTTTATAACAAGTTTTAACACTCATTCTTGAAATCATTATTTTGGTCAATTTAAACATGATTTCGTTGCAATCGACTTTTAAACGACATTGAATTTGAGAAAACGTCGTAAATTTAAATGATAAACTATTTTCATTCTACCTACACTAAGCATTTCTCCCAATTACAGGTAACTTTGGATGACATGTATTATTATTGTTCAAAGCGCTGAAGCTTGCGTGGAGTTTGAAAAACTTTAATATAATTATTCAGTCTTTTTATTTCATGGTAATAGTTTATGTGATAGGGTTATTTAGAACAGGATAGGGGGTATTTCAGACTCGTTAGGATATAAATTTTGGGTGTGTATGTGTGTGTGTGTGTGGGGGGGGGGGACCATTCAGCAAATACTGCAATCAAATGTATTTGCGTAAATTAAAATCTATCGTTACGTTTTCAATTAAATTTATAAAGCAGGTAAATGCTGATGTTTAGATAGAATAAATTGTCACGTTCACGCCAGTTGTAGAATGTAAGGGCTTTCGACGATAACACAGCCTGAGCAGTGAGCGGTCAGCGACCTACGAATAGATTAAAAAGATGTAAAGATGTAAAGATAGTGATTCAGTCTGCTGCTTTACGCTGCAAGTGTTTACTTAAGTTATTTTTGGAATACACTACAAGTCAAACATTAGACTAACCATATACATTTATTCATTAGTCTTCAATCATTTATAACATGCAACTGCCTGCTGGACAACAAGGGCATTGTTTTGTCCACAATATCGTCCCCATTGCAGGTGTAAGAAAGCCATATCACTCTCGATGTCCCCTTTCAACTCCAGGATTTTCAAATAGCCACCAACAATTAAAATTCGACCGATAGACTGATTCTACACATACACGAGTCTTTGCGTGTGCTAATTCTGTAACAACCGTAGTGTTAATAACGAATTGCCTATTTCGTTATTAATCGTTAACAATTCGTTTTCCATTACTTCGATCTTTAGGTATTTTAAGCACTGCAAGAGTAGTATGCCTCATAGCGTGTTTTATTTTCCGTTTTTGGATGGCGAATAAGTTGTCTCCATCATTTTATTTGAAACGAAGGGGAATCTATGATGTGCTTGTTTACCGAGATACGTTTCACACGAACAACGGTTAAACATTCTGCATATCTTAATTTAATGGTGACATTGTTTATCAATTTATATCTGAATAATTGTTTATTTGCATGTTGCCAACATAAAGAAGATATTGTATTTCAAAGTCTGATTTCAGTCATATAATGAATTGATCTCGTCTCAGTTGAAACGCCTTTTTTAAAGTAGTATAGAACAGGAATAAAACGTGCACAGCTGAAACGACTTGGTTGTCCGAGTTTTGTACGGAATTTACTCATTCTATGACAATATCCAATCCACGCATATTTCTTTCTGAAGAAACGGATTGCCTTGGTTCGGTTCTTCATATAATCATAAGACCAATGCAGGGGCGGATTTAGGCCATCTTCTGGGTCTTCCGGAAGACGGTCAGATTTTCAAGTTTACATTGACGGGTATCTAATGTTTTCTGTCGGAAGACGGTCAAAATGGAGGATGGATCAACAAAGATAATTTGGAAGACTGTCAGAAAATGTCTCTGGATCCGCCCCTGCAATGTATCCCATCTCATTGTAGGTGTTTTGGGCTTGGCCACTGCAAAATGGGAGGTAAATGTGCGCGAGTCTGGACATTACTATTTAAAACTCTTTGTGATACGATAATCTAGGTACCAGAAAACTAGTCCTTCCAAGAATGGGCTTTTTATGTGAAGCGTGGTTAAAAGTGGTCAATTCTCAAAAACTTTAGGTGTCAGAACTATTTTTAAACGTACAGCAAAACCCACTGCTTGCTCATGATGAGTCGAAAACTACATATATATATACCCATAACAAGACTGTATTATACCTTGTAAGGCTCATTTTAATCAAAGAAGAATAAAGATAAAGAGGAAGGTATTTCACGTAGAGCATTCATTGTTTGGAAAGTTTCCGCTGTATCTTTGAGTGTTAAGTGAGAATATTTATCCCAAGAAATTAGCTGAAAGGAGATTTGATGAAAACTGGCGAATTGATGATTTGCTCAGAGTCTCGTAGTAACTTTGTTTCACCACATAGGAAGGGCTGATATCACATACTCGGGTCACGCCTGAAATTTAGAATGACATTCAAGAGACAATATTACTGAAAAGAAACAAATTATGTTCCTTTTTCTCGAATCAATCATATATTTAACGGTAAGTAAAATTAAGAAGGATTCATTTAGGTAATGACACGCACACGATTTACGCATCCAGTTACAAAAAAAAAAAAAAAAAAAAAAAAAAAAAAAAGAGAGCACAATGTACTGCAGTAGTTTTACCTGTGAGAGCCATGGTACTTTCTAGTTCGTTAGTCAAAATGTCAAGCACGTCTTGAACACCCTGGGAGCCATTAGTGGCGAGACCATAGATAGCAGGACGACCGATGAAAACTGCTTTGGCTCCTTGAATAGAGACAAAAATGCATATCGTTACACATCCTACACATATACTCTATGTCTTGTACACGTAATTCTATTTTTGTTCATCTCAAACATATTTTTAGAGCAGTTCTTTTTTTTCGGATTAGCTGAAACTTATGGACTTTGTATAACTCCATTCTTCACCTAACTAGACTAAAGATCCGATCCATTCCATCCATTCTGCGCCCTAGGGTTGCTACATTGTAAGACAATCTATGAATATATACTCACCTGGCAAAAAAAGTGTCACCCCCACCGCGATTGTGTACATTGCTAAAAGGGTATTGTAAATGTGATGGTAGTTTTAGTTTTACTATTACACAAGAATAAAGCAATCGTGCATGCGAACTGGGGACATGAGTAACAGAACAATGACATTCCTAGCGTAACCATTGAAATACTCTAACATCAATTTTTTTTCAATATGCAGCTTCTCAGTAAGAAGGATACATTTTTACCAAGCGGTTGACATAGGAGGGAGTTTTGACCCGCCGAATTGTCAGAAGGTTGGGTTCTTCCATAAGATCCATTCAGAGGGTAAGGCAACATCATAACCGAAAAGGCACATGGGCAGATAAAAGCAGGTTGGGCGTTTTCAGAATTTATGGACGCGTAAGGCTTTCTGGAACAGCTGGTAATAAGTATATTCCCAATTTTCTGTCTCTGGTCGACAGGACGCATCCCACATAAGTCATGCAGGTGGTGTATCGGCCACTATGATGGAGATGAGCTCGCATTGGTCACCTATTTATGTCTTAGCATGAAGCTGCTTCTCCACGTACAGCCCATGCAACTGCAAGCTAGTTATATGCCAACCAGATCAGACCCCCCAAAGGCCAGCTCAATCCCTAGATCAGAATATCACTAAGAATATGTAGGATATCCTCAGAAATCGATAACGGAGAGATAAGTATGCAAATGAAAATGATATCATACTATCTTTGAACTGTATGTGGAACGCCATCACTGCGCAAACGTTACAGAACTTTTTAACTCCACGCACAGATGTGCCAAGTACGTCCTCCAATCCAGAAGGTACTGCACAAAATACTAAAATGTGGGTTTAGATTTTTATTATGATTATTTTATTCAAATGGTTGTACAATCAGAAAAAAAATTGCATAAAAATCCATAAAGACGTTGGATAAAGAAAAATGGTTCGTGACATGATTTTCTATAGCCTATCACTTAACATTCGAGGTGACACTTTTTTTTTTTTTTTTTTGTAGGGGAGTCTATTTCGATAACATAGTGAAATAAAGCACAGCTTCTCATAATCGCTATATTGACCATACCGTTTTTCCTGTCACCTACCTAGAGCTAGCGCCGTGTAAACGTCCCTTCCGTTCCGAATCCCTCCGTCTAGGTAAACCTCACATCGCCCCCTAACGGCACGTACCACATCCCAAAGGGCATTGATAGTGGCTGCACTACCATCAAGTGTACTGCAATAATATTATTAATTTTTGTGAAATCAAATGAACCGTTTGGTAGGGACTTGCAATTTACATTTTATGTGTGTCTAAAGATTTAAATAATTAATTAGAGAAATTTAATAAGCACAATCTTCGTATTACTTACCGGCCACCGTGGTTGGATACATACACGCCATCTACACCATGGCGCACCGCAAGTTCGGCATCCTCTGGGGTTAAAATTCCCTTGAGAATGATTGGAAGACGTGTCACGTTTTTCAACCAATCAACATCGTCCCATGTGACTGTGTTGATTTGATAATCAGCGTCGTCTATGGTGCCACCAATCACTGGTCTAGGAAGGTTGACATAGTCGAACGAGGCGGGAAATTCGAATTCACCCCGTAAAGAAGAGTAAGATATCCGTCTGAAGGCAACATCATCTATGGTTAGCACTATGGCCTGGTAACCTACAAAGATATAAAAAGTTAAACCTACTTTTTAGAAGTGATGCTTTGTAATATTAAATTGGAGTGAGTTTTCAACAAATAATATCGGTCATAAAAATTGCCTAGTCTATACTTCAGCTCACCAAATGAAAAAGAAAAAAGGCATTTCAATTACAACTTCAGCAGCTGCAAAATCTTCAGGGCCCCGTATCTCGAAAGCATCGCGTATTGCGAATCGCTAGGCCTATATCAAATAGAGGCAACAATGTATTATATGGGACGAGTATGGGCGAGTTATGGAATCGAGACGCTTGCGCACGTGCGCAACACAGCGAAGCTTTCGAGATACGGGGCCCAGGTCTTCCTGTGCTAAAGAGTGTTTTTCGACTAATTCTTACCAGCCGCTTCAACCCTCCTAATGTGCCTTAGCATGTCGCTCCTTGGCTTCACCATGTACGCCTGCATCCAACGATGTCCGTGTGGAACCGCCCTGTCTACCTCCTCCAACGGTGTGCCCGTATCCTGAGAGAGGATCATGAGGGCGTTTTTGGCAGCGGCACCCAACGCCGTGCCTACCACTCCTTCTGGATGGAACCATTTATGAAAAGCAGTGGGGGAAATGCCTGGCAAGAAAACGCCATCTTACTAGTTCATATCCCAACGCTTTATGTGCACCAGAACCTGTCTTCTTCAAGAATGTCATAATGGTTTGAGTTAAAATAAGTGAGCATTTGAACTTGTACCAGTTGACATACTCGAAAATACTGCAAAGGCGACCAAAATTAATTTTTAGGAATTGTTTTGCAAAATCCGTTTTCAGATTATTTCACATCAGCAATTGACAAATTATTCAAAGTATTTAACAATGCCAACAAAGATCATTAAGTCTCCCTTTAAAGTTTTGTAATGTACCAGTAAAGGGATAAATTGAATTGCAGTTGAATTGGATTAACGTCGTCACCATTACTGACGTTAGATAAGACATTCTCAATATGCAAAAACTATGCAAATGTTTAGGTCCCTTTATCAAAAACTTATTCTACAAGATAAGTTTTAGACAACACATTCCAATAACATCAAAAGTGCAGTAAAATATTGTCGTCTCTTTGTAACAGTTGAAAATGTTTACTTTATGATATAAATAAAGTATACTTCACAGCGGATATAAAACTCACCTATTGGGATATCTACTGCTTGTCCTTGAACAGTTGTACTTGTATCAATATGGCTCACATCTCGCAGACGCCTTGGCCGTAGAAGAAATGTCTTGAAAGCATCGATGTTCTCGTCGTACGTCTGTCTTTGCGTGAAAGCGCTTTCGATGTAATTGTAGGCGTGTGGGTGAAGATGATTTTTCGCGTAATCTTTGAAGTCGTACACGTTAACAAAACGATGGTTTGCCTAAAGGGAAAGACGTCATTGATTATTTTCACTTTGGACCGAACGAGTATAAAAGTTGAATAGGAAATCATATACATTTCCATTTCTATTTGAAATTGCGTATCCTTTCTATTACTATTTTGTTGATGACATGTACTTACACCGCTGAGAGAACGAGTTGCCGTCATCAGTGCAATCAGAACCAGCAAGGCACCCATGGTGGAATACATAAGACTGGCTCAGTGGCTGTCTGCAGAAGAATGAAGACGCCCAAAAGTTAGACAACTCTTAATCTCATCTTACATGGTATTCACGTACATGTACGAGCCATTACTCGATCTTTTGGGGCGTATCTTTTTACCACAAGAAGCTATTTACTGACCCTATGTGCACTTTTGATTCAAAGGTTAACCAGAAGATGCAAATCGGAACAGCAAAGGGGACATACATATGTATCAGGTTAGAAAGATGCACATTTAAGTGTGTGTGTGTGTGTGTGTATGTGTTACAATTCACAAAAAACGTCAAGAACAAAACCTGAAGAGATTTTGAGTGCATGGGAATCTGCCAACGCATTTTGATTCACTTCAAGAAGAGCGTGTGTATCCAGATTATTATTATTAATATTATTATTATGCAGAGGAAAATCCATGATCATGACATTTGAAGAGAGATAGTGCTCTAGAAGATCACGTATCCTGAGCAGTGGGCAATTTTAACGTGGACATGTACTAGTATATCTCGTCAGTGACCTATGCAGATATGTGAAACTAGCTCATTGATTTGGTCCGCTGCTTCACGTTGGTAATTGTTTTTTTTAAACGGTGCTGCAAGTCAAAAAGACATTAGACTTCTACAATCATTTAACTGCTTTGTAGGTGACTGTCCAAAATATGCCATATTTTTAAAGGGCAACACAAAAGGCTATCTGATGTCAAAGTCTTCGGACGACAGTCATTTATATCATGCAACTACTGAGTGGACAATGAGGTCAATCCCCTTTGCGTGTAAAGGCAAACGACTTCTGACTCGATGCTTTCCTTTTTTCGCTGGGTTTTCAAAAAGATAAAACATGATGGATTGACTGATGCTGTGTCCAAGTGTTATATTTGTTCACCCTTAGTCTGAGACAATGTTTGTTTATAACCCTTTTTGTGACTTTGAATTGCGCAATCCACGCACGGACGTTGCACACGCATTTTACAGGCATTGTTCGGTGGACTTGCGGTTATCGAGTAACAACTTTCCAAATCAATCCTCCATGTCTTTTCATTAGCAATGCATTTTCTCTCTGAAGGCCTCTAAGAGCCTACCTTTTTTTAATTTAGAGCATTTTTAGGACTTAGTATAGAAACATGTTTTATTGTCCTTTGAAGCATGCTTTATTTTCTTCTTTTTTTATGGGAAAATGAGGGAGGAGGGGAGTCTGCAGCGTTATGTGCACTGAAATACGTTTGACGTGAACAACGGATGAACTGTCTATATACATACCTTTATTTTAATAGTGACATTGTTTGTCATGCGTAAAACGATTTTAAGGTGAAAAATATTTTAATGCGTGTCAAGCATAAAAGAGAGATTGGTATGTAAAGATCAAAATGACATCTTACAAAAGCATTTTTGGTGGAGCAAGTGCTCAGTAGAACTTAGCTCGTGATACCTTTTCCAAAATGTCCGCCAATATAATATGATAGTTTCCAGTATAGCTTGTTTGTGATGCCTGCGGTCGCAAATGCGGTGTCTTTGAGACAGACAATGGTAATGCAAATCTTACTTTTAAAACATTATTGTGATCACTTTTAAGATGATTATATTCAAATTGACTTTGACTATTCACTTAACTTTTACATACATTTAGAAAACGTGAAAATTCTAAACAATCTAATCGACATACACTAAATATATTCCACCTCCAAAAAGTGTCACCCCTAATGGACTTGTAAAAGACGCAGATGATGAATGGGAGTGGTACAAGGAGAATATTTAAACAGGAAAATGTCGGTCCCACACAGGGTAGATTATGGCATTACTGAAATGGCTCAGGAGTTGTAAAACAAGCCAGTCTTTATCATGCTTTTCTTGTACTTGCAAAAGCTTTCAAAAGCTTCCATTTGTCATTCATTAAATGATTATTTCCAAACTGAACATTCGAACATTATGATCATTATTCTAAAATACAGTTATACAACAAAAGCAGAATTATCAATAAGGAAATGTATTCTTATTTAATACATAAATCATATATAACTTTTTATAGGGCTGTACATTAGGACGGATCAATACAATGATATATCTTTCTCAGCACACAGCTTTATGACAAATAATTGCCACAATTCTATAAAATAAATGCATCTACTCAAATTCTGTCCATTTAGGTAAATATCAAAATATATTTCAAGTCTAAAGGTATCTCATTAACAAAAGTTAAAAAAAATAAATAATACATAAAAAAAAGGACAAAGACAATGTCCACACCATTAAAATTTTGTCTTTAAATATATCTCCCATGAAAAAAGTGTCTTTTTCTGTTGCCTTATTTCTCTGTATTCCTCTTTCAAAGGTAACATTTGGAACTTTATAACTTAACAGAGTGCAAAACTTCACATTATGTGTCCATGGGGACAGTGAGAGTAATTGAGTTCTGAGCCTCGCCATATGTACTTAAATCTGGGAATGTAAAGTTCATGTACTTTCTAGATGTCTCACACTCGTAAGCTCTGTCTTGCTTTGTCTAAGATATCTTTTCTAATCTTGGGGTAATCAGGGTGGGTCTTCAGTACCTGGAGGAAGAAAAGGCACAAATGCAGTAAAAAATTTGTCCTAATATTTCCTATTCCAACTGCCCACAGCAAGGGCTGGACTTTCTCTCTCTCTGAAATATTGCATAATTCTGCTTTATAACAGAAAAGAAATGGCTAATGCTTTAGATGAATAGCAACTTTATTTAAGCAGTCTAGCATGTTTTTTTTTTGTCTAGGTTGTAGCAGACCAAAGTTTATCATTATTTGATGGAACAGGCCTCAGTAAAATTTGATAATTATCTTAAACTCAAAATCACAGATAAAATCTATGACTATTAATTTAAAGGTACTTACATGATGACAAATATCAATAGCATCTACAAATCTTCTTGCCTTCATGTAATTGAAAGCCAACTTGTAACCTGCAAAACGGGATCATTTATAATAAGCAAGTATATTTTGCTGATAACAAATCAATCATTTTATGAAATTTAAAGACAAGTGCCACTCAATCATGTGAGAAAACTGCTAGACTCTACCATTAGTGGAAATGACTGAAAAAGGATAGTTCAGAATGTATTTTACATATTTTTCCAACTGGTATTTGTGGCCAGTCTCAAAAAGTGAAAGAACAATGCTGCCCCCTTCCCCCCTCTGAATATCAGAAGTAGAAAGTCTTCCTAAACCTGGATCTTCACATGGCATACATGCAACCTTACATTAAAATCTTAATGACCCTGGACACAAAGAGACTACTAAAGATACTAAAAACTTCCAGAAAGGTGTGCCAACATACCTATGACAGGGCTGTTTTTGTTACCATATTTCCAGGCATTCTCGTAGTTCTTGGCAGCATCCCTGTACGACTGTTCTCTCTCCATGATGAAACCCATGTATTCATAGGCCTTGCAGCATGACTAGCGGAGGGATGAAGATCTTTAGTGAGCAATGCTATAATGCTACATTAAGTACTGTTAAACTACATTCAGTTTACATACTGAAACTAAATCTAGAAAGAAGGATTTCATCTGAAATCAAATTCTAAATGTTAACTGAAAATATCACAATTTTATTCAACTCTAATACAAGTTTTTTTTTTTTTTTTTTTTTTTTTTTGAATATGCAAGTACATAAATGCATGGCTGAAAATAATAATATTAAAAAAACACAAAATGGTTGTTATAATAGTAAGTGAAATAAAGGAAATATAATAAAAACATATTCAATACACTTTTCCATACAAAAAGCAATTTTTTACCTTGTTTGCTGCCAAACATTTCCTGAGCAGTTCTGTGGCCATGTCATACTTCCCATTCTGTATGTAAATATCTGCCAACAGCAGCCAGCACTTCTCCAAGTCCTCTGCATCCTGGAACAGGTATCACATTATATACTGGATTAACTATACATATTGCCCAAGTAAAATGCGAATATATGCATTACAGGGGCGAATCCTGGATTTTTTGAAGGGGTGGTCCACAGATACTGCTGAATGGCCCCGAAAAATTTTGCTATTTTAGAGGGCGAAGAGTGCCATTTGGTACAGTTTAGAACTATGATTCAGCTAATCAAAATTCTAATTTCAAAAGGGGACCATTGGGAGGACCAGGAACCCCCCCCCCCCCCCG